CGGACTCGTGATTGTCCTCCTGTTGGACTGTAGTGGATATTTTTAAGTGATGGCTAACATTGCAAACAAACCTGACTGACTGATAGAATTTAGTCTGCACCGAAAAAAAGGACTAGACACATCGCACTAGTTACTAGTGTCCAGTAATCAAAGTATTCAATACAGTCGTATAGGAAGGAGGTCAATCGCAAGCTCGAATAGCTTGGCGGTGGTAACGTCTCTGACTGCAGCCCTCACCGGGTGACGCGGGTTCGAATCTCAGAAGGGGCTTGAGTCCCTTTTAGGTGACTGCAGATACGCCTGACTTGCTGACTGATGAACGCCAACTAGCACGAAACCTAAGTAGTCCAAGGCTTCCTGCCGATTGCTTCCAACTATTAAATTTATCAGTGTGTTTTTAATTGTTATCAGACAGATATTGGATCACTTGATTTGATACTGCATACTTCTTTTTTGTTTACCTACACTATCACAACAGTTTAGGCACCTGGGCATTACAATATGATATTATATACGAGTATTTTCTGTCTAAACCACACTGATCCGACTAACAAATTGTAATATTATCCCATGATAGATAAAATGTGTGTGTGTGTGAAATGACAAAAACTCGAAAACTGTCTTCTCATATCTTTTTTTGAGAAAATTTAGTGTTTTACTTCAACTATCACATGACCAATTACTGATTCCATCTGTTGTATCACTATGCCATATGGCGTTTACAGTGTTGATTCGGACACTATCTGAGATAGTCTTGGGGTTTGGTTGGAATAAGTGTGAGACCAGCTGCTGCGGAATCCCTAGTCCCCAAGCCACAAATGATAGGTTGGCTGGGGGTGATAATTCCAGGGACGCTAGTTCGAAACCCCTTGTGGTCCAGATTTTTAAAAAAAATTTCGCCTCCAGTTTTAATTTCTGCAGACTAAATACTGATTCCTTTAGTATGTTACTTTTTTGACAAGAAAGGTTTCCTGCGTGTATTCTCTTCTTTGGTATTCTTTTTTTTAAAGGAGTACGCTTTTAAGCTGTTTAGAAGGAGTTAAGATTAAATTTCCTGAGTGTTAGTTTGTTGAGATTTGATTGAGTTTCAATTCTGCTCGCAAAGTGATATCAGGTCTCTAAAGAAGTAGTTGTCTGGATTTCTCGTAGGGGTCCAGTGATTTGGGCGTAAGGACATATATTTGTCCGTAACAGTCGCTTGTGAGTGACACTGAAATTGGTGAGTCGGCAGAAGTTAAAATTTATGAGCTATTGGATTCCGTTTCTGTGATTGAGTATTCAATGAGCGCTCCTCGTGAATTGAAAGGCCTGAGTTCCATCACCGTTAGGTACATATGATCGCATTTCTGAAGAGTCCAAAACAGGGGCGAAACAGTTGTTCAGTAGTCGTCGATTTTCAGTGTTTTTGAAACTGACATCAATATATGATTAAAATTCAATTTGTGAGCTTCTGGACTATTTCTGAATAGACTAATTCAGGATTTCATCATGGACTGATATAGTTTCGAGCGGCATTGAAAAAAAAACTGGGACAACTGCTAGGCATCTGTTTCATCAGCCTAGTTCGGGACTCTTCAACAGTACTCACTCACTGCAGGGATTCAAACTCAGGACCTTCCGGTTACAAGGAGAGCAGACTCGTAGACCATTAAGTCACTGGGATCCGATTCATTGACCAGTCCGTTAGTTCCGATTTCCGCCAATTCATGATTTGACGCGAGCACTACCGAAAGTCATCGGTGGCGAGTGTTTGTCGTCACATCCGACCTTCTGTGTACCGTACTGGCCACGACTTCACTTAATTTTTGCGATTCTGTTTTATTGTATTTTTCAAAAGTTTTAAAGATATAAACTTTAATTTTAAGAGAAATCAAGAAAACAAAACAAATATAACAGGGTTTGATCATTTGATTCGGTCAGATATTTGATTGATGTTGTATTGATTGTTGATTTAACAGTTTGTTGCTGTTGCATAATTTGGCAGTGTGGTATATACTAATCCAGGTGTTCGATAATCACGGGGTGACAGGTTCAAATAGTGCTTGACTTATTTAGGTTTGACCAGCCGCCAGTTGGTGTCATTAGCCTGCAGATAGTCGTATTCACTGGCTTCACGTGCATAAGTGAAAGGGCGCTCAAAATCAGGCTACTGTACCTAGAGGAGCTGGGATACCCTGAATCCAAACCTGTGGTCTATATTGGCTCCAGAATCAGAACAGATCGAATGGTATTTGAACCCATTTCTATCACCAGTAACCCTGGGAATTTACCTACCTCCTGATATTGTGTGATTCTCGTAATCAGTCGGGGAAACACGTCATTCTTGTTCCAGACTATGAGCCATACGAGTTGGGTGACAGCTGGTGATACTACCCAGTTGCCGAGGCTGAAGTGATGAAGCGGGGGCTGAAGGACAAAGGGTGTGGCCCCTGCTTCGGTCTGACCTTCCGAACAACATCCCAGTTCTCGTACACACTATGAAATTTTGTGTGACACATTTCTTGGTGTATCTCACTGGTAACTGCATCAAATTGTAAAGTAAAATAACTCACGTAATATGTTTTCAGTCCATTGTCTCAACATGATACCTCGTAGGCTTTTCCGTATTTCGACAACTGTCGTCATATCCGTTCTGTCTGTGATCGGCAAGATCTTGTACACGTCCTCGTAATCTTTATACCTGTTTCGTTTGAACTCCAATAAATAAGGGACTGTTCACATTAATGCACGTAAGCTTTCTGTCACTCTTCGGAAAGGCGTGTTTGAACAATCTTCGAAATACTCATTACCGTTTTGAGATTCGAAGTATCCACTACATTCTTACAGGAGGTCATTCGTGGATACGAATTTCTCGCTGAGAGCATCACTAGCCTACAACACTAGGATGGATTACTTTGAAATTTCAGAAGTGACAAAAGTTTCTTCAAGATTGTGGATACGAGTGCTAATAAACACGAAACATGGGAGCAAGGCTTCCTACTAATAGCCTCCTAAACACCTAACATCGGGTTGGAAAGTGCCATTAGGTAACGAACCGCCCAGCATAGTGGTCATTGAAAGGGGAAGACATGAAAACCCTAGCTGTCTTTGATTATTGGTGTCTGCGTTCTGTCCCTCATGTTAGGTTGTGGTATAATAGGGTGAGCGATATTGAGGTGAGGCTTCGGTCGAGTGGTGGGTAAGGAGGGGAAATCAATCGACTACTTTGTGAAGTTACATGGATTTAGACGGTCAGGACATATGTTACTCATTCCTAACCATCGATCACCTTCCTCGACCAGAAATGTTAGTCGCCGAAATAGGATGGATGGGGTTGGAAAAGCGATGGCTGGTGTTGGTTTCACCAGTCAATCAAATCTATCAATGAGGTGCTCACCAGCAACTGGTCGTATTCACGTAAGTTCTAGTGGGTAGCCGTAACCAGTAGGGTGCAGCAGGTTGGGTGTGAGGACAAATACTCACCGAAGACATTGGCTAGCGGTCTCACTATGTCGTGAATTAGCAGAAGTTGGAATTCACAGGCCATTTGATTGGGTCTCCAGTGGCTTAATGGCCTACGAGCTAGCTCTCCCTGTAACCAGAAAGTCTTGGGTGCAAACTCCCATGTGGTAGGTACGTACTCCTGAAGAGTCCAAAATAGTACGAAGTAGCTATCCCATGCTGCAAGATTTTCCAATGTTTCTCTAACCGATGTCAGCTCATAATGAAATCTCTACAAAGCAATACTTGAAAATCCATAAGAGTTAGTTTAAATCAGTCAGTCAGCCGCATGGGGAGGTGTCGACTTCCTTACTGATTGGTTGGGGCCAGCGGGATGGTTAGAACCAGTGAAGGCTGGAGACAATTGGTGGGTGATATGGCCCCAAATCGCAGATGCATTCACTCTTCATGAGTGATTCATCATATCCAATAAAGTAGTTGTTCTTGCATATTATTATTGTTTTTTTATCTCACTCACACCTTGTGTCTATTTTATCTCTTTTGATGAATCGCATTCTGTACTTTCTTCAGTTGTTTTGTGTGTTACAAGGAGGGTAGTGTGCCAACTGGAACTCCTGCACATCTTTGCAAAGTTCCTATAATGAAACCAGCCAGTCAGTCGGCCACTCAGTCAGCGTAGTGGTCACATTGCGAATTTGACCGATAGAATTCAGTCTATGCTTAAAGTATGGACTAGGCGCGTAACATTAGTTATGTAACAACAAAAGACAAGGGCCAGGCAACAGATCGTTTATTAAGGAAATCCACACTTATATATATTTTCATGTACATTGTTATAGTTTATTCAAGCAAACAAACAGTCTTCTGATTGGTTGTTTCCCACAGGAAGTTGACCTTGCATCTCTTTGTGAATGTTAGGACATCTATATGTTAACTGTATCTGCCTACCCAAAGTCTGCTGTGATTGGTTGTTAAATCAGTTTTGTTCAAATTTTCTCACGACCAATATTTGCAATATAAACATTGACGTAAATTAATGTCTACCAATTGACTGACAGCCTCCTCTCACCACAGTCACCTAGTGTCCAGTGAAAATATGTGTGGTGAGAGCAGGCTGCTAGCCAGTTGGTAGACATTAATCTACGTCAATGTCTAAGTCATTAATATTGGCCGTGAGAAAATATGAACAAGGCTGATTCAACAACCAATCACAGCAGACTTAAACGTGGGCAAATATGATTCGCAGATAGATGGCTCCACTTTACGAGAAACTCGAAAATAACCAATCAGAAGACTGCGCTTGTCTGCTGAACTTCCGAGAAATAACCAATCAGAAGACTGCGTTTGTCTACTTGAATAAGCCATAATAATGTATGTGAAATATATATAAATACGTGCTGATTTCCGTAATAAAATGATCTGTTGCCGGCCCTTGTCTTCTGTTGTTACATATGTAATAACTTTACCAGGGATATTTTGATACAATTTAATATCTCTTGTAGAAACCCAACTCCTTTTTTTAAAAATAAAATTGTTTTTCACTATTTTTTTTCTTCCAGATCTATTTTTTCCATCAACAACCAATTCAACTACTACACAACGTAAAATACCTAAAGGTGAGGTACTCGAAGTTATTCAAACTCCAAAGGCGAAATATTTACGTATAAGTCGTACTGGAGATTTATTTATTGTCAAGACTAGTGGAGCAAATACTACACCAGCTTCAACTACTGAAGCTAATGCTAGTGCAAGTAGTAGTAGTACTCTACCCGCTAATAGTCAAGAGAATTGTACACCCAGTTCTGATAGTCAAACACATTCAACAGACCCTGTCAGTGTATCTGGTCAGAATTCATCCGGTCAATCTGTACAACAGTCTACAGTTATCAGTAATAGTAGTAGTAATACTGTGGGAATCGGTAACACTGTCCCTTCATCATCATCATCATCATCGTCATCGGGTTTCACAGGGGATCCTACTACTGGAAATTATGAAAAACACCAGAATCCTCAAACCCTTCAAAAACGATCTTATTCTGATTCGAATACTGCCGCCTCTGGAGTATATCATTCACAAAATAAACCAGAAATGACTGCCACGAATCATCAATCAATGACATATGGTGCAAATAATAATAATAATACTAATCAACCTTTTAACTATTCCCAATCGTATAATCGATCTGAAGGGAATGTATTTCAACAACCAACTAATAATGTTACCGAAGCATCGTCGTCGTCTACTACTGTTGCCTATACCTCACCGAAACGTGCTCATTCATCGAATGAAACATTCACCTCGTGTGATTTACGCGGTAAAGATTCGTCAACTTATCAAAATCAAATGATGAATCGACGTGATAATAATAATAATAATAGTAATAATAATAATATGAAAAAAGAACATGGGAATAGTGGTATAACTTATCCTAATCATACATTCTCTTCTCAGGATCCTTTCCAATCTCACTTACAACGTGGCGGTCAATCTGGAGAAGCATCTTGGCCTTGTTTAACCTGTGGGCGTACATTAGCTACCGGTTGTACTTGTCGTATGAATTCGTTGAACACTCCTGTAAGAAATACTGCTACTACGAATGCTGGTGTTTCTAATCCACCATCTTCAGTGAATACTGACACCAATGTCCAGTCGTCGGCGGTAGCCTCGTCGAGATTTAGATCTTTCAATGATTGTAATGCTACTACTACTCCACGTCAAGAGTCTTCATTTCATCAATCCAATCATATGAACAATTCGAAAAAGAATTTCCCATCAACTACAAATTATCAATCAAATGTTGTTAGTGTTCCGTATTATCAGTCACCTCAGAATGCTCCTCCTCCCCGTCGGCATCATCATCTTCTTCATCGTCGTCATCGGCATCGTCGACAGCCCACCGACAGTTGCAACAACAACAACAACAGCAACATCAGTATTTACGTGCAGCTGAAGATATTGCACGTCAATCAGGCTTAACAGCTTCTTCTAATAACAGTAACAATCCAGTGAATGCTTATCAGTCAATCTATCAAAATCAATCAAGACTGAGTAGTGGTAATACTACTACTGATCCGAATATCAGTAGTAGTAGTAATAGTCATAATCCGAATAGTTTACAAAGTCATGTATCAATGATGCAAGATTATTTTTCACAGTTAACAAATCAACGTCCAGCGGCAGCACCAGTAGGAGCGGCCGCTGCCGCCGCCAACGCTTCGTTTGATTTACAACGATCTCCGTTCAGGGAACAGCAACAACAACAACAACCGCCACAACCAGCACCACCATCGCATGCTGTAGCTGCAGCGATGCAACAATATCTAGCGCATAACAGTCAACACACCACCGGTCACAATCATCAGAGTCATAATGCTGGTAATACTCCTACTACTACTCATAATAATAACCAGTTTAATAATTCCGCTGTACAATATCAACAATTTCAGTTAGCCGCCGCTGCTAAAGAACAACAGCAACGTCTGCAACAACAACAGCAACAATTATTATTAGAACAACAACGACAGCAGCAACAATTACAACTCCAACAACAACAACAGCGTCAACAAGCTCAAAATATCACTGCACATATTGATCGAAGTTCTGCATCTGCCTCAACCGCCCCTTCATCGTCATCATCATCACATGCTGCTGCCGTGTTCAATCATTTGCATTCACAAGCTTTTCCTAATTTTCATTTTCCACAGTTTTAAAAGAATTTATGTATTGTTATTAATATCAGCCCGGTTTTTTTTAGCGGATTTGATCTGTTGGTGGTTTGTTCTCCCTTCAGTGGAATCCTTTTCCCTCCCGCCGCTGTCTCTCCACACAAACACCCACCCACCCCCTCCAACCTGCCACTGTCGATCAGTCGCAACGTAAACTCTTTCTATCCAACAGTTTCTTTTTAAATGTGTAAAGTTATACATACCATGCAACATTTATTGATATGTGACAAAATTCTATTCTCCATTGTAGTAGTAGTAGTGGTAAATTTCTTGTCGTTTGTTCCACTGTCTTGCAATCCTCTGTCTGTCTGTCTGGTTGTGTGTGTTTGTGTACATAATTGAAATAATCGAATCGGGATCTCATTTCTTATTTATTTGTTTTTATTTTCCTTTGTCTTATGTTCAATCCAATGAATTATAATATTATTATTATTATTACTATTACTAATATTGTTATTCAATTGAAAGACACATTTAGACGCATATATATGTAAACTCTATTTTGTATGCGTAATATATGCACATGTATGTATGTATGTAAACAGTTACTCACCGTTGTATTAAATTAGGTGCTTTCATTTGTCTCATCCATCATCCATGCATTCATCCATTCCTCAAAGTCCCCGAATCCCCTTTCCCCCCTTCCGTCCATCATCAATACTCACGTTCCTTTATTGATTTAGACTGTTTCATCATTGTACTTTTGTTTCTCTCTCTCTCTCTCTCTGTGTGTGTGTGTGTGTTCATCTCACAAAAAATATGTACAGTAATTAAATATTTCTCTTCTTTTTCTTTAAATATGAAACATTTCACTTTGTAAAGTTGTTGTTTGTGCTCCCGACCCATCCCACCTACCCTATCCAGCATCGCTATTACAATTCGTGTTGTAGGTGTTTCTTTTTTCAGTTCGTTTGAGGAGTCTGCATGTGTGTGTGTATGGTGTGTTTATCCGAGCATTGCTGTTGTGCCGCCTGTTGGTGTGTGTCTTCTATCTATGCCTGCAACACCACTGTGTTCCATCTTTCTTGTCATCTTTGAATCCTGTTCCAAAGTCCGTCATTATCAAGTTCATATTGTCATCACATTTTTAGAAGAGAAAAAAGTGCTAATCGTTATTATTCATTCATCCCTCCATCCATCCATCAGACGCGCTTTTTTTCTTTCTTCTGTTCGCCTTTTTTTTCTCTCTACTGAATGAGATGCTGATGAAAAGGGGTGATGCAAGCAAACAATTATTTGTCAATTTTTTAAGAAAATAATATTTATTTACTTAATTATTATTATTGGTATTTACTTATCTATCTGTTTGATTGTTTGTTTTGTTTATTGATAATGACTAAATGAGTGGTACTCATATCATTCATAGTTTATTACCCTTTTTGACAACAACAATATCATCATTATCGTCGTCAGCAACCGAGGCAACAGCATTATTTTCCTTCTTCCCTTTTTTGTGGATATTAATTACCACAGATATATACACATATGTGTGTGTGTGTCTGTGAGTGTAGGTAGTTAAACAGACACACGCATTCATTTGTTTGATGAGTAAGTAGTATGTTAGTGTTAGTAGTATGACGACGTCGACAATGCTGATGGTGATGATGATGATGATAAGTTTACGTTTAAAACAACCGTGAATTTTCCACTGTTGACTAACTGCTTGAATAATGATCTTTACTCAATATTAATATTATTATTATCATTATTATTACTACCACTAATATAATAATATTACCTATGCAATCTGTTGTATACCTCTTCACTACTATTACTATTATTATTTGATAAAATAGAAATAATATTATTATGCATTTATACTTATATTACTTTTTGATTTAATGTTATCTGTGTCCGTGTGTGTTGTCTTTTCTTATTGTTGTGTGTGGGTGTCTGCGTGGGCGTATGTGTGTGTGTGTTAACGGGTTTCCTTTTAAATATTTTCGTAGATCACGAGGAAGGTAATAAATTCTGTTAAGCCGCCTAAAGCCAGCCTTTCCCCCTGCTTCGTTATGCTTTGTTAGCTAATATAGGAGTTATTAAGTTGAGAATAAAAAAATGAGTAGTTAGAGTTGATCCCATGGTTCAGCTGTGGAGTTCTGTTTTCGGTGTCAACTTAATTAATCCTCATCCAATGCCTTCGACAAGTGTCCACCCCACTGAATACTGGTTACGAATTCTTGCTACAGATGGCTTTAAGGCATCCACCCAATAGCAATGAGCTGTAGTCCCACAGGCTGAAGAGTCCTGAACCAGGACGAAGTAACTGTCGTGTGGTTTTTTTTCTGGTTTTTAGTGATCTCTTTCTCTAACTGATGTTGGTTTGTGATGAAAATCTAACCACTGGAATCACAATAATATCCGAAATCCCCAAAAATCTCATTATCTATATTTATTAGTTTACCAACCCTGGTTCTGGTTGGTTGGGATGCCTGGTAAATTCGAAGGGTTGGGTGTGTTTGAGGTTAAGAAGAATAACACTACTGTTTTACTGATATTTTAGAACTCAAGCTTGAAATGCTTTATTAAACTCAGAACTCAATTGTATCAATTCATGAAGTATCTGTCCGTTGGTGACTTTAGCCAACTCTGTGTGGGGTTGGGATCCTGTAACGATCAAAATTGTCCTTTATGGTGGAAAGGTGTGTTCACGCTTTATAGGAGCTAATATATCTATGAACTGTTGAAAGCACCTTTCAGTACTTATCTGCAACCAGGCAGGTCAGTAATCGAATCCTGAAACACTTGCCAGGTTGGTGGACATTCTACTGAGGCGCACGTTCAAATGAAATAAGTAGAGATTGGAATAGAACATCTTAGACTGTTTGGCTGAAATTAAGTATTGAAGTCAATTTGCCTCATCTGAACTGTTGTTTGAGGGATTATTTGTCTGTAGTTGAAAATTTTATATTGAAGAGTTCAGTTGTAAGATTTCTGTCTTGAATGGCTCCTCTGCTTCCAGTGGAGATGTGAGTTATTGGCTCAAGTCCCCGACTCATAACCGATAGTTCTTACTCTGCTTGTTTCAACTTGGGCAACTTTTTAGCATCATCTGACGTCACACACTCACAATATTTGTGTGATGTTTAGCGTGGTACATGAAGAAAGTATGGTCTAAGCAACTGAGCTTAAATTGTAGTTCTTCTACTCCCTCATGCCATTTAATTTATGAGCATTATTCGTAGTACTTGCTGTTAACATTACATAAGGGAGAACAATACAGCTTAATGCCTGTTTAATTTGGATTTTGGAATTATGTCTGCGTTAAAATATTACAGCCAACTACGGTCCGCCGCAAGATAAATTGGGATGTACAATTTTCAGGATCGTCGTTTTCTAATCCCCCATCATCAGAGCGTAGAGATAGCATAGCTGACTTCATAGTCATCTGAGGGAACCAATTTACCACTACTACATACTTATATTTCCAGCAGTATCACTTCGCCAACAACCACCCCCTCAACGAATTACACTATGTTGGTAACTACTTTTAATCTGACCACTATTCAAACAATCTTCCTGACATCGTGTGACCTGCAGAAATATCACTTTCAGCTTGGATGGGACACTGCCCCGTATGCTAACTCGACTACCATGTCGAGGTAGCACCTATCAAAACCGATACACACAATACGAGTCTTCCTCCTAGGTGTTCGTGTATTCTCCGTCTCTCTCTCTCTTTCTCTCTCTCTCCAGATTACCTACTAGAAGTGTGTGTGTATAGTTAAAAGAAATTGAGCAAATAATATCCTTTTCGATAATTTCCTCATCCTCTGGCTCTACAATTATAAATATGTCAATATGCATAGAATATTTTAGAATAGAAGTCAATAACAATATTAGTGTTTCTTAATATCGATTTGTTAAGTAAGATCACGATGGAATTACAGTTCATTAAAGATGCTTAAATTATAGTAATAATAATAATAAAGATATAGTAGTAAATAGAATATCAACTGAAATTAAGGAAGTTTCTACAAAAGATTGAGCATCATTCTAACCTTGATGGTCAAGGTAAGGACAATGTCTGAATCAACCAGCTTCTTTTGGACACGTAAATCAGGCGTCTTAATGTGGATCCCAACGACCAGTCTCAGCAATATTTAGTAATCGAACTGTTAAAGGAACACTAAGATTTGCTGTTATTGTGGTAAATGACTTTGAAAGCCGCCTCGTTAACATCAATCTCGTGTTCTGTATCCACAAGATGAGATGGAATAGCTCTGCAAATAGATTTCGTTTGTCCTTTACTTAACCAAACACGCAGGTTGATGTTCGGAAATCCAAGGAGAAATACGTCTCATTGTACAGCCTGAGCAGCTAAATAGCTCCACAGGAGCAGTTGAATAGGTAGATACACATGGGAGAGGCGAAATCAGGCAGTTTATCTTTTACTCTCAAACGCAAAAGAGGAGTGGTTTGGAAGACGACACAGCATAATTCACAAACAGGGAATGCTCTTTTTACCGCATTTCTAAGACGTTTTGTTAATATCTCTCTGATGTTGTCCCCTAGGAACTGAATTTGCAAGAACTGTTGGTACCTTGGGCTGCTTTGATTTTAGATTCATATTCTTATCAATAAAGTTTTCTGGATAACCGTTTTCATCTAGCAACCATTTAATATTATTAAGTTCCTCATCAAGACATTCATTGGAGAAGATTGTTCTTGGTTTGTGTTTGACTAAGCACTTTATTTGCTAGCATTTGTATTTCAATGTCACGAAGCTGTAAAAAGGCGTATACTGAACGGTTAGTTAGTTAGTTGATGTAGGTTTTCTGTATACACTTTTTCTTATTGTGCCATCCTTTTATTTCTGGTCATAAGGACGTCTAAAAGTGAATTCCTAGAGTCTTCTTCTTTCTCGATGGTTGAATTGATTTCAGGATGAACCTCGTTAAAATTATCCAAGACTTGACTACGAATCTAGAATACTCTATGTATATAAACATACATACATATACAGCCAGAAGAGGAGGAAACTATCGAAAAGGATATTCTTTGCTGAATTTTCCTTTTGTGCTTTATAGATGTCTGAAAGGAAGTTTAGTTTTACATAGTCTGTATGCACACATACATAGTTTGACAACAACAAAAAAATTCATTCATCTGTATGTGGTTCTTCTTCCTCTTCTTCAGAAATAAGACAACAAAAACATAATAATAAGTATGCCTATGGAACAACTGCTGGTTCAGTCTTTGGATGAGCTTACAACTCAAATTGACACTGCTTGTCAAAAAGGACGTCGAGTATACCTTTACTTTTCTGGATCAACAGATTTAACTACGGGAGATAGTTGGTCACCAGAATGTTGTCAGTGTAAGTTCTCCTGCCTTTTTTTTCTTTAGATTATGCATTTAGATGTTTAGCTTTCTTTTGTTGTTATGTTCTCTTAGCTAACTGGATGATGGTTTATTTGCGAGGTTTTCATTGCCCTATTTGACAGCATCTACAACGTATACTTCAGTTTCAATTGAAGTGATCTTTTAGATTTCTCCACGAGTTTATTAGTCATCTCTCCTGGTTGACTACATTGAACGTGACTTTTTGGTTGTTTTTGTGTGTTTTCACACCCTCTAGGCTACTTGTATTGGTATTGGTGCTGATTCTTTTCTCTACCTGAAGTTTGCGTCCAAGAAACTCAAATATCCCTACTAAAATACAATCATCTCTACCTTTGGATATTATCTTTGATACTTTTAACTTACCTACGACTGACAAGACAGAAAAGCAAAATTGCGCAGCTCAGACAACTCCAGACAAAGCAGTAGCCATTGATTGTGTTTTCGATATAATGACACGCGGACTGGACAAAACGAGGCAGAGGAATTATTAGTGGAAAGCTATCAAGGAGCGATTGAGTTTTTGTTCGAATTGGGAACTTGTCTCACCTATATAGATGAAGATGCTCGGTCTACTCGCAATATTATTGAATCAATTGTCAAGGAAGCTATACTCCAAAATTATGATCGCTCAAAGGCTATAACATGTTTAACAGATGAAGCCTCAGATGGTTGAATCTCCGACTTGGCGGCGAACCGTTTGACTGAACAAACTGGTCAAACAAACTACCATCCAACTCAAAGAACACGAATATATCAAAATCAATTGTAGGAATAACTTCAGTAGAGTAAAGGCTGTAACTACAGCATTGAGGTTTGACCGTGGATGCAATACTGGGACATCAATACTGCTGAAGTTGCAGATATAGACCCTGCTAACGACGATTTTGAGGTAAATCACCGATCGTCTCCAGTCATTGGTTTTTACCTTCCTGAGGACCCCAACCCGATAGCCAGTCTACACCTCCATACGTGACTAACTGTTGTGATGGATTTCATTGGCTGATGAAGCCATGTTTTGGTTTAAGTGTCACGAGCTCTTTTTTAACCTGGTCTATCCTATGTCAGCTAACACTGCTTGTTAAGGAACGCGATCGGTGGTTAGGAATGAGTAACACATGTTCTAACCATCTCAATCGGTATGATTTCACAACCTCTTGACCGAGGCCTAACCTGAATATTGCTCACTCTATTACGCCTGTCACCTAGCATCGAAGACAGAACAGAGATATCTATGATCAAAGACAGCTAATCAGGCGTTGCATGTGTTCCACTTTTAATGGCCATGTGTCACTCACAGCCAGCCACAAAAGAGAATGGAGTGGACTGCTGAGCAGTACACACACCCTCTGGTCAGTAGCCAACCGAGAAAATACATTCCACTGATTAAGGCACACTACTCGTACTCATACAGCCAGGTGAGGGCTTACGGCGAGTTGTCATCTGAACCGGTGACGACTAATGGTGTCCGTCAAGGATGCCCATTATCCCCTTTTCTATTCAAATTCATCATAGATGTACTAATGGACTTAACCATAGGTGACTTCAGCGACTCAGGGATTGACTTGCTACCGCGGAATAATCTCGTTGACTTGGAATATGCAGACGACATAGTCCTTCTAGGCGAAGACACTGACGAAATGCAGAGTCTTCTAAACACCTTGAGCCGCAATCTACGAATGTTTGGCATGCGATTCGCTCCCACCAAATGCAAGATGATGTAACAGGACTGGACTGGACTGGACTACATCGACGCCTAGTTTAAAAATAGGGAGTGAATTGGTAGAGCACGTTGACCGCTTCACTTATTTGGGAAGTACCATCAGCCGGTGCCAACGGGCTGATCTCTGACGAAATCTCAGCTGAGTACGGATACAGGGGGCTCGTTTCGCATTTGCCAGTTTACGCCGACTCTGGCGTAGGCGAGATGTTCGACTATCGACCAAAGGGCGGGTGTACTGCTCATCAGTCCGCTCCGTCCTCCTGTATGGTTGTGAGACTTGGCCACTGAGAGTGGGAGACATGAAAAGACTAGCTGTCTTTGATCATAGGTGCCTGCGTTCTATTTTCCGTGTGAAGTGGCATAATAAGATGAGCCATATTGAGGTTAGGCGTTGGTCGAGTTCTAGGTAGGTGGGAGGGGAAATCAATCGATGATGCTTTGGAATCACATCGACTGAGATGGTTATGACATGTGTTACGTATGCCTAGTCATCGCCTGCCTTCCGCGACGGACAGTGTTAGCTGACATAGGGTCAAGTTGGAAAAGAGCTAGGAGATGGCGGTCAAACCAAAACATGTCTCCATCAGTCAATGAAAGCCACAACAGTTAGTTTAAGCCAGCCACGTAGGAAGGTGTAGACTGGCTATCTGGTTGGGGTCCTCGGGACGGTAAAAACCAGTGGTTGGAAACACTTGGTGATATGACTCAAAATCGTTCTCGTTGGTAGCTAGTGCAGACGCATCCACTCCTTGTGACCTATGATTTCCAATGAAACTGTTTTGTTCTTCGTTATTACTCTTCCTTTGTCTCACACCTATGTTTACTGTCTCTATTATGCATTTCTTGTACTTCTCTTGCTTTGTGTGCAACAAAGAGTGGAGTGTGTCGACTTGAACTGGTGCACATTTGTGCAAAGTCGAAAACAGACAGACAGTAGTCAGCCGGATATCACGTCTACGCCAGAGATGGCGTCAATTAGAGTATGCCAAACGAGCCATCTGTATCCGTGATTAGATTCAGCAACTTCACTCCTGCGTATCTTTAAACTAGGAGCGAGTCGATGTAGTTCAGTTCTGTAGCATTATCTTACAAATGAAAACCAAGGGCTAATCGCACGCCAGCATTTGCAGATTGCATCTCAGGGTGTTCAGAAGACTCTAGTAAGGAGGACTATATCATTTGCGTATTCTAAGTCAATCAAATTATTCCCTGGTAACTGGAAAGTTGAATAGAGGAGTTAGAGTGTTACGTAGTGATATAAAAACAATCAGAATGCATATTAGAAAGAAGAAAAATGTAGGGAATTGTGATATTACTCAAGAGTGCACAAGAGAAATACAAAAATTGTAAATAGAGTTAAAACAATGAATAAACAGACAAAAATTCAAATTGGTTAGAATTGGTGTTGGTTAATTTTCTTTTATATATCCATGCAGGGATCCTGTTTCTCTCTCTCTCTCCCTCTCTCTCTGTGTCTCTGATAATGGCTAGAGATTCAAGTGTATTGTCTTTGACATATTGTTCTTCACTTTGTGGAATACTTCGAAAGACCAATTTATCAAGACAGAGATAGATTGATTGATCAGTGTCGGCAAGACATCTTACAGCGCCATTTCCCCACCCTTCTGCAACCATTCGGGAGAGATAGTATTCTTCAATCCAATTACACAGAGGATAATCTGTGAGCGACCAATTATGATTGTGTGATAACTCATCACCATGGTTACTATTCTCCTCTTTTTTTCTTTTGAGAAAATTAGAATAGTTACTGAACAAAGAATACTCTCTTTTTTTCGATAACTTTATCATCAGGTTCTGCAGTTATATATGCATACATAGTTATATATACATACATACATACATAATAGTGAATGCATTATAACTCCATTATAGATAAGATTGTATTTTGATAAATCACACACTGTGTTTGTTATACAGTAGGTAATATTAACTGATGGCAACGTTTCGAGCACAAACTATTGCCACTCATAATCATGTTAAGTCACTCACTCACACAACTTATTTCCTTCATTTACATACATGACATTTGAATGAATATCAATATAGGATAATGTACATTGGGAAATAATAATAATAATAATAATAATAATAATAATAATAATATGAGTGTTATCAATAAATTGCAGTCAGATGGAAAATAAGACGAGTGTTTTATAGTCATTTCTATTGCATGTGTTAGGTGTAGACTCAATGAACCAGGATTCAGTAATCAATCCCTGTCTCCACCTAGCTATATTAACTCTTAGAATTTTGACCCTCTCCCCCCACCCTATTGTGTGGTCGTGTGTTAATGCATACAGTGCAATGTAGTGCTGAGCTTTTCTCTAACTTACTTATCTTCGTAGGTGGGGTTAACCATTCTTACCTTAGCTAAATTCTTATGTCCTCACAGACGATCTGACTACTACTTTAGTTGCTGTCCAATTAACCTTGTTTCTATATTAGATCATTCTTTTATTACCTGCTCAATTATCTAATTTTGACAAACCTTATGTACATATACACAAATAATTATATATAAATGCGATTGTACAGCTATGTGAATGAATTCGCCGAAAAGAGTCTCTTCGCTGAACGTCTTCTCTTTTTCATACTCCTAATCTACTAGTTTGACCTATGTAGTTCACCCAACTTACAGTCATCGGGAGGTATTTTGTAAATTATATTATTTTGTCTAATTGAATCAACCGACAGGGTCATTTAACCTACTGAGCTTGTCCTACCTGAATGAGTTTGTCTGTTTGAATGCCACCACACTACTTCCCGCTTTATTAAGAATCCTATGTAGGGTCTCAGATGTTCTTCCCTCCTTATATGGTAAAGCTACTGTAGATGCCTTATATTGTCTCTTATTTATGTGATTATTACTAGTTCCATATTAGTTTGATTATTAAATGTATCACACAGTAAAACAGTATTGTATACTGGATGACGTTTCGAACACACTAGTTCCACCATTATTTTTATTTAGCCTTTTGATCCTTTATGATCTTCCTAATGAATTTTATAGGATAGTTATGTGATACCAACCAACTCTTCTCCCATCTGTTTTATTTCATCATTCAGGTTTTTTTTGTTGTACTACTCAGTGCTATTGCTCGCTTTGTTAAACACGTAACTAAGCCTCGCTTAACAGATAGATAACGATGGATGAGATGAATTAAAGTCTAAATATCTGTTATCAAAATAAAATCTTATCTATACTGGAGTTATACTCTACCAGCATAATGCCCAAGTTTTATACTGATATCAATAGTGAATGAATTAGTATTACCGAGAAGAGTATTCTTTGTTCAATAACCAATTTTTTTTTTGAAAATTTTAATGGACATCTTTTGTCAGTTAAAATTTAGTAATATTAATGCGGATTGTACTTACAGCTAACAGGTTATCCTTGTTGACCAGAGTTCATGTGCAGAAGTAGTGATAGAAGGAATTCGTCATTGTCATGTGATTACTTACTTCTGTTTTCTTTCTTTTTTCTTTTTGTTGGTTTTACTTCATATTAGGTGAGGGTGTTCTTGAACAAGCTATGAAAGGCACGAAAGAGGAGGATTTATTCTTAATGGTTGAAATTGGCGATCAAAATGAGTAAGACATTCAAACCATTTTACTCATAACTTTGCTTTTGATTATTATTATTGTTATTATTATCTAGTAAAACAGACGATTTTCAAGTATTAATTGTGTGGATTTTTTGTTTGATTGCATGGAGGATTTCATCATGAGCTGACATCAGTTAGAGAACCATTGGAAAACCTGGGAGTACTGCCAGACAGCTGTTCAATCTGCTTAGTTTGGGACTCTTCATCGGTACGCACTCACCTGGGTTCAAACCCTGGACCTTCTGGTTACAAGGCAAGCTGGTATACCATTGAGCCACTGGAACTCGATACAATCGTCCTTGAATTCTATCAGCTCATGAAGAAGTCCCCCATGCAATCAAACAAAAATTTCTACAAAACCAATACTTGAAAATTAATCTGATGCTCACTAGTGACTGACCCTATTTAGACAGTTAACCTGGGGTTCTAGTGGGAAGCCGTGACCAGTAGGGTACAGCAGGTTGAAGATGAGGTAGTAACCCATCGAAGAAGACATTGCGAAATGGTCGCGCTGTGTCGTGAATTGGCAGAAGTTAGAATTCAGTAGCCATTGGATCGGGTACCATTGGCTCAATGGTCTACGAGCTAGCTCGCCTTGTAACCAGAAGGTCCTGAGTTCGAATCCAGGTGGGTGCGTACCGATGAAGAGTCCCAAACTAAGCAGATTGAACAGCTGTCCAACTCTCCCTGTAGGTTTTCCAATGGTTCTCTAACTGATGTCAGCTCATGATGAAATCCTCTATATAATAAACAGATGATGTTCTCCTCTGAGTGTGATGGATCATATCATGAGGAGGATGACCATGAAGGAGATCTAGTAGACTGGAAGATGTTGAGCTGACAAGAGAACCCTCTAGAAGATCTGGACTCCGTTAACGATTTATGCATCTAATGTCATACAAACTTGAAGATCTGTAGACGAAACTCAACCAATTGTCACGTTAGTATATGTGTAAAACTTGGGCACTCTGTTGGTAGTAGGTAATTCCATATTAGTTTGTTTATTAGATATATCACATAGTGAAACAGTATGATTTACTGGATAACGGGTTTTTCGAACAAAATTTATTAGTTTTCATAATTATTTCATCAATTATAATCACACGACTTCGAAACTTGAGTTTCATAGTTTTCTTTGTTCTCTCTTGTTTGTCGTCGAAGGCTAGTAGAATTTTCCAGATATCTGGGCTAACAGGTATTGAACCATTTCTATTACACGTGTTTGCAGTTGATTCGATAGACAAAGCTTCTGTTATCAATCTCTCCTTATACCCTATGACCTTAGCTTTTAAAACTGTCATCTTATCCCATCATCCTATTGTATGGTTGTGTGTAGTACTATAGCTCCAGATTTCTTTTTTTATTCGGGTCAACTAATCTATATTTTGCTAGGTCCGTATGCTCGGCTAGTGTGACTGCCCCTGTTCTACTACTTTGACTTATGCATTTGACCTGACAATCATTGTAGGTAGGGTATTAGATAAACTAAATTATTTTGTTTCATTGACTCCACACGATTGATCCTGTAACCGAAAAAGCTTGTTTCTGATTAAGTTTGTGGGTGGTTTGAATGCCAGACACTTTTATTCCTGCCTTGTTGAAAATTCTGCGTACTACATCCGAGGTTCTTTTCTTGTATGGAATGACTACTAGATGATTTAGATTCCTTATTGTTGGTGTTGTCATTTTCCTGGGCAGGTTTATATGCATGTCGTCATTAATACTGTTTCACTGTATGATACATCTAACAAACTAACTAATATGGAGCCAGTTGACAGATTTTGTCCCAAATGGAAATCAGTCAGTAGATCCATTGAGCTTAGCACGGACGCCCGATCAACATGAGCATCCATATGCCAGAACTCCCAATCCTGGAAAATCCCGCACCCTGGCATACAAGTAGCTGGATAACAGGCGCACGCCATCACGCCCAGCCAATAGCTGGAGACAAATGGTGATATGGCTCAAAATCCCAGTTCTCAGTGGCTGGCGCAGATACATCCACTCCTTTTGACTTATGATTTCCAATGAAACAATATATTTTTCTTCGTTATTACTATTCTTTTTGCCTTATATCCCTGTCTACTGTCTTCTGTCGGTTTGTGTGCTAGGTGGATTGGAGTGTGGTGACTCGAACCTCTGCGCATCTGTCCAAAGTTATACGTTGAAACAAGTCAGTCGCTCATCTGTTCTCACAATTCAGCTGATTGACTTTACAGGTCAAGAATTATCATAAAGACTCCATGAAGTTCATCCCGTGTAGTGGCTGATATTGAGAAGTGGATTAGTTGTCATCTAGTATTGAGTTTTTGGAGGCATTTGTTTCCTTTCCATTATGTTTTGAGTGGAACATAAGGCTTCAAATGTGATCACCACAGCAGCGGCAGTGTTCTTAGTTATGTTTACGAAGTGAGGTTACTAGCTTCTAGTCTAACCTACTGAATTTATCCGGCTAATTAATGGTTACCGGGGGAGTTAAAGGATTGTGTTGGTCGAGAATTGAAACCTGGACCATGTGTGTGTGTTTGCGGTTGAACGGCATCCTACCAGTAAGCGATGGATGTGTTTGGAGACATCAAGAAATATTATTACTTGTTCTCTATCGACTTCATCTGGGTTGCGTAACACTTCTGCCTCCACCCAGCCACACCCTCCATTGATTTATGTTCTTTTCTTAAGCTACAGGATTACGTCATAAGAGATATTATAACTATCTGTATTTTGCTCTTTATTTCCGCTGTTTTTTGTCTCCTAGATGGAACGATGCGAATAACAAATATCGTACACATCCACTATATCAAGTGAAACAATTACCCACTTTACTATCGTTATCATTCGTAAGTATAAATTTTGTTTTTGATGACTTTTTCCGTAGTGAATTGCGGTAGACTGCTAATCTTCAACCACTCATACGGCCAGCGGATCAATCCCCGGCCACAGATACACTCGTAAACCTCTCTTAGTGTAACGACAGAAGACAAGGTCCAATCAACCGACCGTTTATTGAGAAAATTAACAGATTTATAGAATTTTATGTATATTATTATTAGCGTTATTGTTAGCAGAGGAACAGAGTCTTCTGATTGGTTGTTTTCTCATTGGAAGTTAATCTATCATCTCTAATATATCTGCGAATCATATCCGCCCACGCTACGTCTGTTGCGATTGGTCGTTGAAATCCTCGAGATTAGGCTTTGTTCTTGTTTTTTCTCATGACCAGGATATGGGACGTAAACATTGAAGTAAATGTTGTCTACCGATTTCGGCTAGCAGACAGCTCTCATCACAGTATTAGTCAAGTTTGTTGTGTACACATAGCTACCTAGTTGGTTGGAAGTGTTTTTGAAGGATGTTACTTCCCAGCCGCGCACAATCCTTGTAGAAGTTGATTTCTTTATTGGAGTATCGAAAACAAGAAGAATTACTGTTGTGTGATTAAAGAGCCGCTCGAGGACATCTGTTTTTAGGCCGGTCATACACACACACACACACCATTGGTTTATAAAAAGTTGTTTCCATATTGTGAGATCTTATCGCCGCCAGGGATGTACAATTTCCGGGATTGACTTTTATCTTCTGTCAACTCATTGTTGGTTTTCACCTGAAGATCAATTTTCAATTGAATGTCAAATGGCTCGTGGAAAGAATTTAAAAAAAAAACAAGAAACAAAGGGAGCAAACTATCCAAGAACTAATTGTTTGAAATATACTGAAGAGACCGTCGGATGACATCACCCTTGTGAAATCCAAATAAGAAACGACGAGTAGGATATCTGAGAATGACATTGGAGGATGTCGTGTGAGGAGGAGGAGGAGATGAGAGGGTATGGGCAATCGTGAGTCCCGTTGAAGGGGACAGTAGAAAAGAGAACAAAGTGGAGATGTTTTTAGCAAAGCTGTATTATTCTACTCGGAACCCAAGGGAATCATTACATGGATTTCCTTACTAATTTAATTCACTGCTACTTGAAATCTTAACAGTTTTCAAAAGTTTGGGCATTGGGTATATGATGTTCATTATAATGAAGGTTGCTTTTTGTATTTCTCAATGAATGAAAAACAAAACGATATTCTTTTTATGCTGACGTCAGCGTTTTCTTCAAAACACACAACAAAGCAACCTTGTGCATATAAAGGATCAAATACCTAAGGATTCTCTATCTAATTGTGTCTATATAAAATGCTTGGAATGTGATACGATATACATCGGACAAAACTCTCTAGGGAGAAATCAAAATCAGAAGAAATGGACACCGTAGAGTGAGCATCTGTTCGACCACCGAGAAATCCAGTTGAACTAGAAAAGCTTGAAAAATCGCCAGACATAGGCCGTTTACACGCTGCGCTATAGAATTCGGTCACATAATTGATTTGAACAATATTGAAATCATCCAGAAATTACGAAGAACGTCTAATATCAGAAGCACTTTATATCAAGGGGAATCCAAAGTGTTTGGTGGTGAGTAGGAATAAAATTGTGGATTAAAACAGAGTTTGACCCGGTTACAACACCCCCCCCTCCCCCTCCTCCCCTATGAAATGACAAAATCACCACGAATGTGATAAGCAATTTTGTTATGTAAACACACGCTGTTTTTGTATAATTTTACACACTAATCAAATCTAACAGTCATCTACACATGGTTTTGTTATCTTTACCAATTGACGACCAACTCAACAACGCCAAAATGACCCCTTGTTGAGGAACGATTATTAAGTTGGTATACATTAGCTGAGATTTTGTAAATTCTAGTTTGATAATACTTTGATAAAGCTATTAGGAGCATTAAATAGCAAAACGTCAGATACTTGAACTCCTCTAATGTTATCACTTAGAGTGATATTGGCGCCGAATGTGATTAGAACACTGACTAGTCTCCTGTATATATATACGAGTTGATCACCGATTGTTATCAGTTACAGAACCTTTAAAAACAAGCAGGCAGTACCGCCAGACAGCTGTTTCATCCTAGTTTGGGAATTATCGGCAATACGCACCCACCACAGTCGGTTTCGAACCCAGGACCTTCCAGTTACAGGGCAATTTAGCTCGTATACCATTCAGCCACTGGGTGGCACCCGATTCGATGGCCATCCCATGAATTCTTAACTTCCAGCAATTCGTAATTTGAATCAGGTCCCTTTGGCTGAATGGCATACTAGCCGATGATTCCCAAACTAGGATGAACCAGCTGTCTGGTGGTACTGTCTGCTTGTTTTCAATGGTTCTCTAACTGATATCAATCCATGACCAACTCGTAAAAAACAAAAGTAATCCTTACAAACCAACTATATAAAACTGACCAGTAAATAGTAACTGATACTTTTCTGTCTGATTTATTAAATATTCTTCACATTTTAATTTATCCATTAACTAGAATATCTAAAAATAGTTAATGTCAACAATGCTATTGTTATATCACATTATCGCATTTAGTCGAATTTTGTTACCTATTTATTTCATGATATTTTTTATTATGATTAATTGATTGGTCGAATGAGCGATTGATTGATTGATTTTTCAACTTTTTTGCTTTGTCTTGTTTTGTTTTAATCTTTCAGTTACAAGGTCAAACACAAGTGGCTAGTCGCCTTGAAGGTGAACCTTGTTTAAATTTAGAAAATGTTCAAAAGCTATTTAAAGGCAATTAAATAATATCGACACAATGAAAATAATTGACTGACTAAATTGTCGGTCTATTTATTTAATGCAATCCACTGCGCCTACTTGATATCAATGTTGTGTGTGTGTGTGTTGCTATTGCTTCTGTGATCACATATATATACGTATTTTTCTACCTTATAGCTTATGCATTTTTTTTGTTATTGTCTCTTATATGATGTCGCTTTGTTCTCCTCCTGTCTCTTTTCGCTAACACATTTTTTTTCAATTCTCAATGATATTTATTCAGTTGATAACTAGAGCTTTTAAGTGTTACGCAATAAATTGTGTCATCATTATTATTTACTAATTTTGTGTTTAATTTTCTCTACTAAAAGAAGCTGGTGGCGGTGGGGGCAGGGGCACACTCCAAAATACCTCCAGTTTGAATCAGCACATCATTATATGAACATAAGTAAAAATGGAAGGATTCTTGATGCACAAATTGCCAGATATATATAGTAGAATAAAATCAAATGTTAGCTGATATACGGTTGGTTGGTTGGTTTAAAGGTAATCAAACGAAAACTGCGAATTACTCTCTGATATCTGACAATTCTTCTATCTGTTTGTCTGTTTTCAACATAGAACTTTGCACCGATGTTCAGAAATTCAAGTCGCCACACTCCACTCCTTCTAGCACACAAACCAACAGAAGAAAGTAAAAAGGAACGCCAAAATAGAGACAGTAAACAGAGATATGAGACAAAAAGAATAGTAATAACAAAGAACAATATAGCTTCGTTGGAAATTATAAGTCACAAGGAGTGGATGCATCTGCGCCAGCCATCGTCGAGAACGACGCTTTTGAGCCATTTCACCCACCGATTGTCTCCAGCTGTCATTGGTGTTTATCATCCCGAGGACCCCAACTAGCTAGTCAGGAAGTTCACACATTCCCATATGGCTGGCTGACTGGCTTAAACTAACTGTTGTGAATTTCATTGACTGATGAAGCCATGTTTTCGTTTGACCGTCATCTGCTAGATCTTTTTCAGATTAACTCTATGTCAACTAGCACTGCCTATCGAGAAAGGTAGGTGATGACTAGGCTAGAGTGCGTAACACATGTCCTAACCATCTCAGTCGATGTAGCTTCACAGTCTCGTTGATTGATTTCCCCTCCTACCTACCTAGCACTCAACCGATGCCTAACCTCGATTAGTTTGAGTCAGCCATGTTGGGGAAGTGTAAACTGCCTGGTTGGTTTGGGTTGTTGGAATTCTAAGAATCACTGAAAGCTGGAGACTATTACTGATTTGTCTGAAAATCGTTCACAACATCACAAATGACTTCACTCTCTGTGATCTACCTTATTCAATAGAACTCTGTTGTGCTTCCGTGTTACTACTGTTCTTTCTTACTTAGATTTTCGCTTATCATCGATCTTTCGAATCTCTGTTCCGTCTTTTTCGTCTACCTTTAAGTTCTTTCTACTGGCGGTTACACTTTTGTGCAAAATTCTAGGTTGATAAAATCAGCTGGGATAAAATTAGCATTAATTTATTTTAGTTCTTTGTGTTCCCAGTGGAACATACAGCTCTGAAGTTCCAGTAGCGGTGGTATTTATTTTTTTTATGGGATGATGTTGCTATCTTCATGCTCGACCTCCCCCCTGTCTGTAGGGCTTACAAGCGGTTAGTGGAGGTGAAGGAGTACACCGGCTGGTAATGGAACTCCGGATCACATACATGGTTGGTTGGTGAGCATTCTACTGTTGAACCACCGACGCGGAATAAAATCGTGAAAATGCAATATTATATGTTTAACCTTGAAATGTAGCTTTGGCTTTCTCAGACTAGCAAGGACTCTGAAAACGTGTAGATAGCTATCTTTAAAACAAGCAACAAAGCACGATTCACTGAATTTATCAAATTTCGGCAGAATTCGTCAGCTGAGTACTCTACATACACGGATATATATACTTTTGAGATTACATTGGGAGATATAAGAATGATAAGCACAAATAAACTACATTGAATTAGTCATGCAGAAAGACAGGCGCGAATGTTTTCGAGGTCATGTTCAAATAGATAAGGGAAGAGGGATTATGGGAGATCAAAATTAAGATAAAATGCATTACGCTTCAATTACATCACTTAGATAAACAATTAGTCATTAGAGAATATAACAAGAACTGCAAACAGCGTGATATCAATAGTAATAGTAATAATAGCAATCATGATAATGTTGAATTCAGTTAACATAAGCAAAGCAATGGGCAAAGCAGTACTGTGGCGGGTGCTACTGATAAGATTTATCAGTAGTATAATTAGTGTAATCCGGCTATCGAGCAAAGGGCGGTTGTCCTGCACAACAGTCCGCTTCGTCCTCCTTTATGACTGTCAGCGTGACATGGCCATTAAGAGTGGAAGACATGAAAAGCCTGACTAGCTGTCTTTGATCATAGGTGTCTACGTTCTGTCTCCCATACTAGGTGGGAGGTGTAATAGGGTGAGCAATATTGAGTTGATTAGGCATCGAGTGGTAGATTGGTGGGAGGGCAAATCAATCGACGAGGCTGTAAGATGGCGGTCAAACCAAAACATGTCTCCATCAGTCAATGAAAGCCACAACAGTTAGTTTAAGCCAACCAGGTAGGAAGGTGTGAACTGGTTGGAGTCCTCAGGACGGTAAAACCCAATGGTTGGAAACACTTGGTGATTTGACTCAAAATCGTTCTCGTTGATGGCTAGTGCAGATGCATCCACTCCTTGTGACCTATGATTTCCAATGAAACTACATTGTTCTTCGTTATTACTATTTCTTTGTTTCATACCTCTGTTCACTGTCTCTATTATGCATTTCTTGTACTTTTCTTGCTTTGTGTGCTACAAAGAGTAGAGTGTGTCGACTTGAACTGATGCACATCGGTGCAAAGTTCTATGTCGAAAACAGATAGAGTAGTATAATAAAGAGACGTTCATTGGTCTAAAAACATCAAATAGCAGGGAAATACTTTTGATTTCAGAGAAGGCAAATGATACAACGTTGTAGAGGATACATGGGAGACTTGAAAAAAACACAACATGAAGTCCCCAAGTACCACAACACGTAGGTCTGTGCAAAGAGTGTTTAAAAGATAGGGTGTACATATTTTGGTTATAGAGTGTTCCTTAATTGCAAATAAGCATCCCCTTACCGAGTCTCCGTCTTCTACCGTTTCGTAATCTCCGCCTATGCCCCCACAGACTGCAGTTCAGATGAAACGAAGGATGAGTTCTACCAAAAGCTGTCTAGTTTGGTGAGAAAGGCTAAACGCTCAGACATAGTCGTTCTAGCTGGTGACTTTAACGCTCAAGTAGGGAAATTGTGTCAATCTGAGAAGGATGTCGGTGGCACCTATGGAGTTCCGTGCCAGCGAACCGACAACGGTGACCGTCTCCTACAGTTCTGCTCTGATAATCATTTGTTTCTTGTAAGCACTAACTTTAAACACAAGGAGAGACACTGTTTGACTTGGAGACCCCCTTCATCAAACCAACGCTGGACACAAATAGACCACATAGCAATAAGCTATCGTTGGCGTGGGTCGGTAGGAGATTGTCGCTCCTTCTGGAACACGCACTGGTCCGCGCTCGGTGTGCTTACGACTGAACGGACGTAGGAAACAGCTGGCGGTAAAACCATCACGTCCCCAGCTCGATCAGGAAACTAAATCCGTATTTCAGGAAGAACTAGCTAAACACATATCTGTGTTCGACAGCTGTGCTCACCCTGAAGAAGCTTGGAAAAATATCCAGGCAGCCATAGATACAGCTGTAAAAGCTGTGAATAAGGTAAACCCAAAGGTGAGTAAAAACCACTGGATCTCCACCGCCTCATCCGAACTGATAGATGCTAGAAGACTTATTCCGGCGAGCTCCGAATTCAATGAGGAGCGAAAGCTGCACAAAAGGAAACTTACGAAAAGTCTCCGCAAGGACCGTGAACAGTGGTGGGTGACAAAAGCCAAAGAGATGGAGAAAGCTTCGAGGATAGGCAACACCAGGCAACTCTTAGACTCATCAGGGAAACGGGTGGGAGAAGACAAATCATTAGTGAAACAATCTCGGAAAAAATGGCACTATAATTAGCTCCCAGGATAGACGACTGGATCGTTGGAAAGAGCATTATGAGGAGCAGTTTAATTGGCCCACAGCCACGCTCAACCTTCCGAGCATCCAACACCTCCCTGAATGGGATATAGACACAGGTCCTCCATCCTAACTGAGGTTACTAAAGCTGTCACCAATCTGAAACTAGGCAAAGCAGCGGGACCTGATGGAATGACTCCAGAGGTATTTAAGTACGGTGGAGACAGCTTACTGTCTGGATTAACTGAGGTACTAGGCAGCGTCTGGGAATCAGAAGAAGTCCCATCGGGTTGGTGTAAGTCACTGATTATCCCCATATACAAGAAGGGAGACAAGTCTTCCTGTGATAATCACAGAGGGATTAGCTTGACTAATATAGTATCTAAAGTCTTAGGCTCAATAATCATGCGTAGACTGAGTGGTGCTCGGGAGCACAAACACGAGAGAGCCAGGCAGGCTTTAGACCAGGAAGAGGGTGTATTGATCATATCTTCACCCTCCGACAGATTCTAGAACATAGGAATTCCTACCGGCGTCCAACAGTCATTATATTTCTTGACCTAAAGGCAGCATTCGACTCTGTCGATCGAGAAGTTCTCTGGAGATGCTTGGCTGTAAAGGGAATTCCGAGAAAATATATTGCACTGATTAAGGCACTCTACTCGTACTCATACAGCCAGGTGAGGGCTTACGGCGAGCTGTCATCTGAACTGATGACGACCAGTGGTGTCCGTCAAGGATGCCCATTATCTCCTTTTCTATTCAACTTCATCATAGATGTGTTAATGGACTTAACCCTAAGTGACTTCAGCGACTCAGGGATTGACTTGCTACCGGGAATAATCTCG